GCCATTTAGGATCAAGGCATGCACCCCTTTTCACATCAATAGAGAGTACGGTGTACTGTGGTGCATTTGTCCATCCTGGCAACATGGCTGAAGAGCATTCAATGCTGCTTTTGAATTTAGTGAGTGGCTGGAGAAAGGCCAGATCTCTGCAACATTATGGCATTTCACACAAAGTCAAACCAGTTTATGCTCAGAATTTGGTGCTGAGAGCGCCTATAAAACAGCCTTCTAACATTCCCATCGCGAAACCAGATGGCTCTTCCCGCTTATCAACAGATCCATATTTTTAAACTCTGTCCTTTGGGGGTGTTCTTTTAATTAAAAACTTCAAAGGTTTTTTCATAACTTAAAAAAAAGTACATCTGGTTTTAAGTAATGTATAAAAGGTGTTTTTCTATGTGCAGTGAACTATAATTATACCAAGATTGCATCCCATGGAGTTGCGTGCCTGTGTAAATAAGAAGATAACAGAATGGGGGCTATCCACTTTATTGCACTGAATACAGCATGTATGATTACCTGCCTTGTGGGCGGGTGGTGTATGTGTGCATTTGGTGCAAGGAGCTCCTGGCCCTCAGAGACCACGTACGGACTCTGGAGACCGGAGTGGCTGATCTAGAGCTAAGGTAGACAGAGAGGTACATAGATCAGACTTTCCGGGACACAGTAGAACGGTCCCACCCCCAGTCTGACAGCCTCTGTGCTGTTGAGGAGGATGAAAGTCTCAGGGAAGGAGAACATCAAAGTGGAGCAGTGGGAACCGATCCCGTAGTTGGGACCCTGCTTCCAGATGATGTCATGGTCTCCTCTAGCACTGATGGTGCCTCTCTGGGTGAGGGAACTCCAGTTATTAGGAAGAGACCGGTAATAGTAATGGGGGATTGGATCATTAGAAATATAGGTAGCTGGGTTTGCGATGACCAGGAGAACCGCATGGTGAATTGCCTGCCGGGTGCAAAGGTAGAAGATCTCTTCATAGAAGATTAGGGTTGGAAGAGACCTCAGGAGGTCATCTAGTCCTACCCCCTGCTCAAAGCAAGACCAATTCCTAACTAAATCATCCCAGCCAAGGCTTTGTCAAGCCGGGCCTTCAAAACCTCTAAGGATGGAGATTCTACCACCTCCCTAGGTTACCCATTCCAGTGCTTCATCACCCTCCTAGTGAAATAGTTTTTTCCTTATATCCAACCTAGACCTTCCCCACTGCAACTTGAGACCATTACTCCTTGTTCTGTCATCTGGTACCACTGAGAACAGTCTAGATCCATCCTCTTTGGAACCTGCCTTCAGGTAGTTGAAGGCTGCTATCTCTTGAGACATCTAGACAGGCTTATGTGTAATGCTGGGGAGGAGCCAGGGGTTGTGGTACAGGTAGGTACCAAAGACATCGGTAAAGGTAGGAGAGAGGTCCTGGGGGCCAAATTTAGGCTGCTAGGTAAGAGATTGAAGTCCAGAACCTGCATGGTGGCATTCTCTGAAATGCTTCCGGTTCCATGCACAGGCCCACTTAGACAAACAGAACTGCAGGGTCTCAATGCGTAGATGAGACAGTGGTGCAGGGAGGAGGGGTTTAGATTTATTAGGAGCTGGGGAACCTTTGGGGAAAGGAGGATTCTATACAGGAAGAATGGGCTCCACCTAAACCAAAATGGAACCAGATTGCTGGCAGGTAAAATTAAAAAGATAAATATTTATAAATGTTAAAAATAGAAACAAAAATATACATTTCTAAGTATTAAACAAAATTTACCCTCATCTGGTGAAACTGAGCAGCAAGGGGTATTTTTATCTGGTTTGTACTTCTTCCTTGTGTTCCCAATATCCAAATCTCTAGGTTCACAGGCAGATTTACCTTGATCTGAGCCTGTTCTAACTCAAAATTCAATCTTAGGCTTGGTCTGCGCTAGCAAATTATGTCGGTATGACTATGTTGCTCAGAGGTGTGGAAAATTGAATCTGTGTCTCCCAGAGCCTGGACTACTGTTCTAGCCACAGGACCCTGTAAAATGAGTATAATAATGCTCCCATCTCTGAGGGATTTCCTGAGATTTAATGTTTGCAAAGCAGTGTCAGATTGTCAGGTAAAGGCAAACCATTGTTATAACATGGTGGGAAAAGGTGACATTGTTTATGTGTTCCAATTCTAAAAGCCACTCCCTGATACCAATGTGACTTTTCAGTGCTGTGGGAGCTATCAGCTTGGTTGAATGAACTAGCTGAAGAAAGCATTTTGAATGTGCCAGGAAGCCACAATGGTTTTTCAGGCATGTCTTTAAAAGAAAGCTTTTCCCATCTACAAAACTAGCCTGAAAAAGATACAGAAGCTAGACTCCATCAAGACCGTGTCTCTCATTCCAATACAGTATAGATACATTACACAGAGAATACGGAATCAAACTTATTAGCAAAGACACTTGAATTCAAGAGTGATTTAGTTGAGTAGTGGGAAGGGTTTTTCTAAAACAGGATGATCTCTCTTGATATACAGCTGTCATAGTAATGTCCGGCTGGATTTTGCAATGCTTATCACCAACTACTAAGTTAAAAATTAGATGTTTTATTTAGCTTTACACGAATGTGTTAAGATAATTTGTAAATAACATGTTTTACTGCTCCTTATAGAGAAAAACACATTGATTATAGAAATGTTATTGACACAAAAAAATAGGGAAATTCTTTAAGGCCAAAAAAAATATAGTATTATCCTGGTACAGTTATTTGAATATCTGTCACAACATGGAAGGTATTAAATCCGATACTGTGCAACTGGACACACAATGGGCATTTGGTTAAGGGAGAGTGGATAGCAGGATAGTACGTTTCTTATACTGGTCTCTTTTCTTGGAGCCAGAAAGCAAGGTTTGTGCCTAATTAATATCATACTAGGAATTTTAAGCCAGGAAATTTGTGAACCCCATACTTTCTTTCTCTATGAAAAAGCAGTCTTTTCTAATAATTTACTATGCTAAGAATGATCTTTTAGCTGTCCCATATTATAGTGCATAAGAAGTAAAAAATAACAACACTTTTCTGGTTGAAATGTACTTGTTGCAGTTTTCACTATAGATTGCTTGAGGGGAATAATTTTCATAGAGAGGATATCATTTATAAATGTGAACTAGAATGGTGCTTCGTCTTAATGTTTCTATGAGCCACAGCATATTTATGTACCAATTTGATAACCTTCTCTTTAATTCCAAACTGAAAAGGCATTTGGTAATGAAATGACTATAATTTTAGACCACTTCGGTTTTTGAGGTATTATTGTGTATATAATTTTTTTCTTTAAAATTGTGATCCTTGTATATTATTATGTCAAACTCGGATTAATCATGACAAACAACATTTTCATAACCCAGGAAATGTTAACGTATTACATTCCTTGCTTTGGAAAGATAAAAGAAGTGATCCCACAGAAAACACATTTTAATTTCCATTCTACCCTGGAGGCCATTTAAGTGATATAATTTGCATGTCGACCCCATTTTCACCCACCAATTACTATAATATGTCATGTCCATATTTTTAGTCCCTGGCTTTGTTTCATGTTTGCATTGTTTTGAATTTGCATGCTGTCTGTATTACTTATGCATGACATCTACGTTAATTTCAAGTTGAATGTTTGCACATTCTGAAAGACATTCATGGATCATTTATTCTACATGTGTATTTTTTTCTTTTGTTTTCAGTTACTAAAGTTTAAATATGCTTGAAATGTAAAAGTGGCATGAAACTTTTGTGACACAAGTAAAATACCTGTTTTCATAGGTTTTTTTAAGTGTTAAAATTTTTGACTTCACAACTTTTAGAAATCTGTCATATTCTAGAACACCTTCTATGCTGTTAACATAACAAATTATATTATCAGCCACTAAACTTATTTCATTGTATATTTAGGACCAAATCCTGGTTCCTTTTTGCATGCAAACAGTCCCAAAGAAATTGGATTAATTGCTTAAGTGAGATGAGAAAAAATTGGCTCTGAATGCCTAATGCCTATATCCTGCTACCATTTAATATAATGTGATAAAGCTGTCGACAAAAATCACACCTTTTGTCACACAAAATGCCCATTCACTTAAGTATTAACTCGCCATATGCGGAGTTATGGCAGGATATGCAGCTGAATTTGCTAAGAAATATTGTACAGCAGCAGAATTCGATGACTAGATTATATAAAACTGAAACTATACGCACCAAGACTAATGAATGACTATGGTGTACAAACTAAAATGAAAGTATTGTCCCTTTGATTACTTGAACAAGTCTTTGAATTGTACCTCACACATTTCAAAATTAAGGGGGGGAAATAAAACTTTTATTATGGAACTTGAAACAGCTGCCAAAAATAAATATATATTTTTAATTGGCACAGAGTTGAACTTGCATGTCTACTGGAAGTGAATCCGTGGATCTCTTCGATTTCTCCTTTACAGCCTACTCTTTTCTAGACAGTGAATTAATTCTGGGCAGAATTTACTATGATTAAAGCTCAGTGGTCTGACTTGAGATACACCGAGTCACTCACAATTGCCATTGACTTCAATTTGAGTGTCAGCACTTCTCAGGTGACATGCCCTGGATAGGGCTGAACCAAAACCCCAGATCCAAGCACCCCTGAAATTTGGATGGGAGGGGAGGGAGAAATCAGAATCCATGACCATATTTGGATCCAAATGTTGTAAATAGATCCTATCATCATAATGGGCTGAACCAAAACCCTTTATTGGAACAACCCCAAGCTTTGGAGTTTCAAAATCTGGATCTGAAGTTTGTGGCTTGAGCCCATCTGTAATAAAACTGATCAGTCTTCAAGACATTATGTCCTTTAAACTGCAATCCCTATTGGAAATCATTTCTGATTCTTTTCAACCACTTGGTTTTGACTGGTTTGAGTCACTACAGTTCTCTCCACTTTTACAAACTAGTTGTTTTGTCAGCATGAGTGTGACAACAATTAGACGTCCCTGTTTTTGCCCCATGCCTTTTCTCCTTCACAGTCATTCAATGACAAGCGTAAAAAGAACTTCATCTTTTCACGAAAATTCCCATTCTACAAGAGCAAGGAGCAGAGTGAGCAGGAAACAAGTGATCCAGAACGTAAGTAACCTCTTGGAGATGATGTCACATGCAGCACAAAAATGGGTGACACGCATGACACCAGTACCCCACACATCTAGGCATACAAATAGCAAAGGCAGGCAGGTGAGGTATTACTACTGTGACCAATGTATGATTGCAGTCTGGATCCAGCTGGTGCTCCCTTCCCTTGAAACATCCTTTCCGGAGTAAGATAAAGCAGTGACCTTGGCTTCTGGCTGGAAGAGTTCAGTGTATAAATTTCTTCCCTTTTTCGTAAATGTTGCTGATTATTTTTGTTGTTTTAAATCCAGTTCTTTCCTAGATAAAATGTTCGAATTCAGAACTGGCCCAAACTGATGTAAAATCAATTTCTCCTAAATTATTACATTAATTTTATTTTTGGTTTAAAAAAAACCCCAAACATTCCAGTATCATTTTTATGTCTACTACTTTTTGGACTTAATCTAGATGGCTCTAATCTCCTTCTTGATTACAATTGATCACTTTGTTGAGTGTTTTAATCCTGAACTGAAAGCCACACTCAGTGACTTTTTCTATTTCTCATCAGTTTTCTTCTCATTTTAAAAAGTAAAGTTAAAGCAATGATAATCCTCTGAATAGAATCTGGTCACTCACTGCATGCCTATATTATATATTCTGAGTATCCAGAATAATGTAATGTGTATGCTGGTGTTATACCAGAAGAAATTTATCCCCCCCCCCCCTTAATATTCTTTCCCTGCAAATTGATCCGCTAAGGATTCTTTGGTTTTTTGGTTTTGGTTTTCTTTAGCTGTAGCAGCAGAGAGTACATAATGGTCACTGTCTTTTTCATTGGGGAACATTACTGTGGAATATGGGTTTAAAGTTGTTTCAAAAAGAGAAAGCAGGGATCCAGATTGCTCCATCTGCATGGTCAGTCATGGTAGTATCCATTTCAACTCCACTGACTTCTTCCTTCCTCTTCTGCGGCTGTTCTTCCTTTCTCATTGCTCTCTCTGGGGACTTCCGTGCAGGACATCCCCGGATTAGGTGACGACGGTTATGGAACAAAGACTCTGAGTAAGTTCCCAGGAATGGTCACTTCAATTTTTTTTTTTTTTTGGTGTTCTGTTTTTGTTTTGGCTTTTGTTCCTTCTCTGAGGACCTTCCATTCCCAGCATGCACAAGATAGAGTTTTATTTGTTACCCAGCTGTGAATGCACCAAAAATGTTTCAATTGTTTTGTTCTGCATGACAATATTAAATAACATACAGTGTATCAAACAGACACTTTTACTTCTGATGTAATAACACCTTTTGTTTCTGACAGTATGTTTTTGTTCCCATCATGGCAGTTCTGTAGACAGTAGCATACCTAGAACTTGTACTGCTGCCTAGAATGCGCAATCCATCTTGATATGAAGGGAAAGTTAAACATCTCGAGAAGATCAATAGAAAATTATTTTATGATGTCGCTTCTGCATTTTCAGCTTTTTGCATGGGAGTGTTTTTGTTACTTTGCCAGAGTGTAGATTAGTACATTGCTGTTAATGGAAGAAACTATTTGCAGGCGAGAAAAGGCATAACTAATTTCTCCATAACTAATTTTAGAGCTGTGTCACCATTAGTGACCAATCTTTTGTCACTACATTTGAGCAATTTCTTATTCTGGAATGCGGTGATCCTAGCTCAGGAATTGATATTCTAGAGTATGCAGCATTTTGTCAGATGATTCTTCAAAAATAATTTGTTTCCTGTAATTTATTTCTAGAGAAATTGCATAGAATAAAATAAATTATTTGCAACTGAATTCCATATACTTAACTACATTAGTATGCTGTATCCAGCCCTGAATAAGTCCAGCATAATAATACTACTTACACGTGTTTTGGCTGTTTTCTTCCTTCAGTGCTTATTCTTTTTCTTAATTGAGGCATAATGTATGTGAATGTTACCAATGCATCACCTACTGTTCCGTATGTGATTTTGGTTACAAAAATGCACGTTCATGCACACATTTTAAAAGATTAAATGCCTGGGTTTTTTTAATTGACATGTTAAGTCAAGGTGAAAACTTTGTCTCTTGAAGAGCAGAGGGAGAGTTATACAATGCTAGTTTTCTGGATGATGTGCAGAATTATGATTTTGCCATGACTGAATAGCTTATGGAAAGCATGATAGCAATGCATGTAGCGCCTTCTCTGCATTGCATAAAATGAACCAAAGTCCAACTGATTAGATAAAGCCCTATTAAATACCTCTTCCCAGAAAAATATAGGTCTCCCTAATATACCATTTTATTGTGCTTGCAAATTATTTGCTGACTGTCTCCATTGTTAATACTGAAGCTAGTTTTCAACTATCCGCACAATTCTAGATCCCTGCAGCCCCAGCCCGATAGTACAGGTATCATGTATATTAAATAAAATATAAATAAATATATTATATAATAAATAAATTTATTAAACCAACACATTATTTTTAATGGCACACAGCCTTACGATGGGCTATAGATTATTGGTTAATAGAGGCCTTCATGATTCTGTATAAAACATCAATTTGATACCACATGTGTTAACAACAACAACAACTACTACTACTACTACTACTACTACTACTACTACTACTACTACAAGTCTGTAAGTATATGTTTTAAAGAGAGATCATCAGGATAAATTTTGCTCCAAATGTAAAAATGAACCTTTTACTAAACCCTAAAACCAATGTTTTCCATGATTGTTTTTAATTATCATCCCTTTCCCCTCCTTCCATTCCTGCAGCGCCACTCTGCAAATGGACAGCTGTGTGTATTTGGAGGAGGGCATGATACGCTGCGGGGGAGGCAGGGTACTCTCCATGGTATTCATAGATTCATAGATTCTAGGACTGGAAGGGACCTCAAGAGGTCATCGAGTCCAGTCCCCTGCCCGCATGGCAGGACCAAATACTGTCTAGACCATCCCTGATAGACATTTATCTAACCTACTCTTAAATATCTCCAGAGATGGAGATTCCACAACCTCCCTAGGCAATTTATTCCAGTGTTTAACCACCCTGACAGTTAGGAACTTTTGCCTAATGTCCAACCTAGACCTCCCTTGCTGCAGTTTAAGCCCATTGCTTCTTGTTCTATCCTTAGAGGCTAAGGTGAACAAATTTTCTCCCTCCTCCTTATGACACCCTTTTAGATACCTGAAAACTGCTATCATGTCCCCTCTCAGTCTTCTCTTTTCCAAACTAAACAAACCCAATTCTTTCAGCCTTCCTTCATAGGTCATGTTCTCAAGACCTTTAATCATTCTTGTTGCTCTTCTCTGGACCCTTTCCAATTTCTCCACATCTTTCTTGAAATGCGGTGCCCAGAACTGGACACAATACTCCAGCTGAGGCCTAACCAGAGCAGAGTAGAGCGGAAGAATGACTTCTCGTGTCTTGCTCACAACACACCTGTTAATACATCCCAGAATCATGTTTGCTTTTTTTGCAACAGCATCACACTGTTGTCTCATATTTAGCTTGTGGTCCACTATAACCCCTAGATCCCTTTCTGCCATACTCCTTCCTAGATAGTCTCTTCCCATTCTGTATGTGTGAAACTGATTTTTTCTTCCTAAGTGGAGCACTTGTCAAGCAACTATTGTTGCTTGACAAGCCCATGGGGAAACAACCTTGGCCATGAATGCTGTTTCTACTGTTGCTCTCTCTCCAGGGAGTATTAACTTCTGTGAGTTGCCTCCCTTTAGTGGGAGGGTATGGGCCAGCTGCAAGTGGGCAGGCAGTGACAGCGTGAGTTTAGATAGGAGCCCAAGGAGTATTGCGGAGGAGCTAGGCCTTTCCATGCCTCACCTCTGCATGGATGCCCCAGTTTGAGGACCCCTGGACATTTGCCAGCCATGCCCCCTGCCCACTGATTTTCAGTACCCCAACCCCACTCATACATGATGGGGTAGGAGCTCAGACTGCAGACTCTTCCTCTGACCTCCTTGTGGCTCTATCCGCAGCAAGGCATGATCTGTGCCTTAGTTTATGATGTGGTGGATGCGGGCTACAATCAGCACCTGCTTTTCATTTGAGGAGCATATTGGCACAAGACATTATGTTGCTGAAGCACATTCTGTTTGTCCTGGAACTAGATTTTTAAATCCGATCACATCTAATTATGAGACTATGATTGGTCTGATATGCATCTTGCTCTTTCCTGTAAAAGCCAACAGCTGCCCAGACCTGTCCATCAACAATGCAAAATACAGAAATATTTGACAGCTCCTAGCAGTCTTTACCAGTAATTTGTTTGTGCTCTGGAGACTTTGCCAAGGAGATATGCAGATGATGATGCTTTTTGGAAAAAGTGGTCCAAAGCCACGTGTCCATTAGCTTAACAATATAAACCCCAGTGGCAGAGCAGACCATGCAGCTGTATAGGCATCATGGCCCAAATGTTCAAAAGTGGCCTCTCATTTTGGGTGGCTCAGTTTTTTGGTGCCCAACTTTAGACACACATAGGACTTTGCATCTAACATACCAGCTGAATTAAGTCAATACATCTCTTCAACTGGACACCAAAAATGAAGCCACCCAAAATTAGTGACTACAGATCATTATGCCAATTGTGCCTCTACGTCTGCTAGGAGCTGGCATCCTTTAGAAAGAGGAAACCACCCTTAATGGTGTTGTCTGAATTGAGGATGAAATTGAGTCCCCCAGAGGGGTCTATATTAACTTTTTACCAATTTTGGGGTGGGGACTCATCTCTGTCTCCTATCCCTCCACCCTAGTAAATGAGCATTAGCAGAACAAAAAGCATAAACTATGACCAGGACCTTTTTAGATGCATCTGGGAGGGCTGTGGGCCAGCTGCAAGTGGGGAGGCAGTTCCAGTTGGCTGCCATCTTCCATGTTCTGACCAACGGATTTTTCCTGCCATGTTTGAATGTCTGAACTCATGACCAAAAGATTAACCCCATCTGACCTTAGAGGCCCTGGATGTCCATAGACAACCCCAGCTTCCACATATGATGAGCTTGTGCAAAGTTCTTCATGCCCTTATCGAGTTCCAGTGATACCTGCCCAGAGTTACCTGGTTGGTGGCCTCATTCGAAAAGCACAAAGGAAAAAACATTAGCCCTGCCAACTGCCCCGTCATAAACCACCCCTTTTGGTCCCACTCCTAACCCTTCCAGACACAGTTTCCTTCCCCTTGGTCCAGGCAATCAAGATATTTCTGGAAGACAGTGTTGAGGTCTCCAGGGGGAGTAGGTATTGTTATGGGGTTTCTTGCACTTTTCTCTGAAGGAGCCAGTATTGGAGACAGGATACTGGAGTACTTAGACTGCAGGTCAGCACCCTGATGGTAACTCCTATGGTTGCATCTAGGCTGCTTCTGACAACGATCCTCCCTCCCCCAACCCAAACCTTGAGGGCATTAATCTTGGTAACTGCCAGTACTGTCTGAAAAAGGTTCTGACAAGCCCTGTTATTTTCATAACTGGTATTACTGCTTTATGGCGAGCTTTGCATAAATAAAAATAAAACATATGGTAAATCCATTGATTGGCAAACCCTAAGATACCTTGCACAATGACTAATGACCGGCACAAAGGGTGGAAGAAGAGCTCTAACTGTAATGAGAACAGTTCCTATGCATTAATTATACACATTATTCATAATTAAGAATAATCTGTCTAAACACCCAGGTCTTTGCATAATTAGCCTAAACGACTAGGGAAGTGTGAATGGACTGCCATGTATTTTGGCATGCAGATGTTTGGGATGTCACTGCCCCTTTATACAATTCATCAAGGGGAAGAAGTGCCACTGCCGGAGACATTACTAGCCACAGGTGTGTAGCCCCCTTCTCGATATACCAAGAGATAAAGCTTTCATTTTAATGGTATGAGTTATCTGAGATTTTCAGATGGAGCTGCTGCACTGATTTTACTTCCACTCTGAACGCTCACCTTTGCATGAATGTGGCAGATCTTTTAAGTTCTAGCTGCTTCATGGTGCTTGGTTATATTCTTTAATTTGCTGTACTGTTCTTGCAGAACATGTTTCCTCTAATGCCAGCGATAGCGAAAGTAGCTACAGTAAGTTATTGCTTTCGTTTGGGGCTCTTTACGTTGCATTGCTTGTTTTGTTTTGTTTTTCTCTCCTTGCTGCTCTTTTTTAACTTCAAAAAAAAAGATTATTATTGGAGCAAATGGCTTGAAATGCAAATTTCTAACCATATTTCGGGAACGAAACTGTAAAAGAGAAATGGTATCCCTTATACAGCTAATGAGCATGAGTTTTGTTAATTTGAACGCTTTCTGGGAAATGAAACCAAACCTGACTTTGGGAAGGTTTACGAAAATTTAGATTTCTTGGGTACTATTGGGTAAAGTCTCAGTAGGGATGGCTCAGCATTATCATGGCATTTCTTGATGACTCTTTTAAAAGGAAAACTACTCCACAAGAGCCAAATTCGCAAAAGCACGGCCTCCCTTGTGCAGTTGCAATTTGCATTAGCACTTCTGCACCTGAGTTGCAAATAAAGGAGTCAAGGTGCAAGTTCTCTGATTTGAAGATGCAGATCATTTTCTGGGTGCCAATTTCTTAAGTGGAGATTGCACCTTCAGAAAGGTAGGATGGGCCTTAGGGCCTTTGGAAACTATACACCGAATCTCAAAGATTCCTTTCCAATTGAGGCCATGACCATGCAATTTGAGCCATGGAGAGGGACTGCTACACTGTGCCAAAGTCCCATTGAAATCCTGGGCATGGAGTCCATTTGTGTGAATCAGATTGCGGGATTAATGGGGATTGTTTGCATCACTTCACTCCCCCACATGTATTAATGATACTGAAATATTCAGGCAATGTTAAAACATTTTTCCAAAAGTGGTGAAAAAAGTACGAAATGAGTAATTAAAATGTGACACGATTGTCTGTATGAGAAAAGATAACCCAAAAGTTAGGTTACGCTCCAAATCTCTCTCTGTTTATTTGATTGCATCAAGCCATTTGCTTAGCATATGCAGTTGTTCACCAGTCACAGAGCACTTGTCATGCGTTAAGTACCTGTATACATTAAGATTACCATTGGTTTCAAACCACATAGTTACTGGTCTTGATAAAGTGCGTAGCAGTCAGTTACTGTTAATAAACACTGCTTTGTTTCAGCAAAGTAGATTTTTTACACCATTCAGAAATGGAAGACTAGATTTATTCTGCTGTAGTGAAAATGATTCCCTGGAAAAGCAATTGCCAGAGCTACAAGAAAATTGTAGGCACATTGAAACTGCAGAAGATCTCCTTTAAATCCAGTTTAATATTTGCTGTGTCCTCTGTTGGGGAAGGATTGATGCTCTTGTATTCAAAGCACAAGGCTGGGAGTCAAGAGGCCCAGCTTCTTTTCCTGCTTCTGGCCCAGACTTTCTGTATAGCCTTGGGCAAGTTCGTTAAGGCTAAATTTTCCAAGATTTGCATGGGTGCAAATACCCATGATTTTCACATTTTTCCTCATCAAACAGGACAGATCATCCCCACAATCTGAGTCATGATGTTCTGCATTTTCTAGTAGGATTCTGGCTACTGCTTTACGTTTTTTTTACTTTTGCTTCTCATGAGGAATAATCAGTGAAAAGACACTGTTCATGGCTCGTGTTCAAAATCTTTTATTGGTCACACTTAGAACCATTCCAAATCATCTATGCAAGTGTGAAAGTTTGGCAATGAAGTCTTCTTAATGGTGTCCAGGTGGTACCCTTTAGAGTGATTAATAGAGGTGGTCAAAAATGATATTTGTTTCTGTGGAAAATTGGAATACCGAAATATTTTAGTTTTCAGCAAAAGAATTTCATTTTTGGGTGTTTGGTTTTTCTGACAACAAAAGAGAAATTTTCCATGGAAAGCAGGAGCGTTTCACACACAAAAATTCATTTAAGCAAAAACCCAATTTTCTGTCAAAAAACAGCATGACACAGAAAATTTTTGACCAGCCTTGCAATTACCTTGTTCCATAGAGAGAATATTATTAACTCTTTTGCAAAAGCTTATATAACATAACTGAAACTCTAATAAAAAGCTGTGAGGACCAATTGTCCTCAGTTACTTACTAGTCCCATTGATTTAACATTTGAGACTAGAATTGGGTCCACTTTATAAAATAGAAGTCAACTTCTGAGCAGTAATATGGCATATAAAGTCCTGGTCTAGAAGCAAGTTATTATTGTAATTAGTATCAGGTCCAGCTCCAGGTTTTTTGCCGCCCCAAGCAACAACAACAACAAAAAAAGCCGGAGTGCTGCCCCTTGAAAAGAGCCGTCCCCAAAAGGCCAGAATGCCGCCCCTTGAGAAGTGCCGCCCCAAGCACATGCTTGGAACGCTGGTGCCTAGAGCCGGCCCTGATTAGTATCTATCAAGCAATTTTTGAATTATCTAATCAAACACAATTTCCAAGTTTCAGATGTGTCTGAGGAGCCCTATGACTCAAATCATTTCGATTTTTTTCAAACCAAGTTTGGAGGAGCTCATTGCAGATGTAGATTAATCTCTTTTTGTTTTCCAAAAGATGATTTTAAAATGGCTGTGAATTTTAATACCTCTTTTATACACAATTCAATAAAGGTTTTTACAGCAGCCACCAGAAATTGCACATGCTTTACCAAATCTATTTAGCCTAATTGCATAATTTCACTAATTAACTAAGAAAGCAATACTTGACTAAAATTTGCAGGGGGGGGCGGGGGAATTCATGCACATGAGGAAGATCATTAAGGACCATAGTTTACCCTCTGTATGTAACCAAGGCCATAATTAACATTATGAGCCTTCTATAGGTAGAAAAAGATTCATAGATTCTAGGACTGGGGAAGGGACCTCGAGAGGTCATCAAGTCCAGTCCCCTGCCCTCATGGCAGGACCAAATAATGTCTAGACCATCCTTGATTGACATTTATCTAACCTACTTTTAAATACCTCCAGAGATGGAGATTCCACAACCTCCCTAGGCAATTTATTCCAGTGTTTAACCACCCTAACAGTTAGGAACTTTTGCCTAATGCCCAACCTAAACCTCCCTTGCTGCAGTTTAAGCCCATTGCTTCTTGTTCTATCCTTAGAGGCTAAGATGAACATGTTTTCTCCCTCCTCCTTATGGCACCCTTTTAGATACCTGAAAACTGCTATCATGTCCCCTCTCAGTCTTCTCTTTTCCAAACTAAACAAACCCAATTCTTTCAGCCTTCCTTCATAGGTCATGTTCTCAAGACCTTTAATCATTCTTGTTGCTCTTCTCTGGACCCTTTCCAATTTCTCCACATCTTTCTTGAAATGCGGTGCCCAGAACTGGACACAATACTCCAGTTGAGGCCTAACCAGTGCAGAGTAGAGCGGAAGAATGACTTCTCGTGTCTTGCTCACAACACACCTGTTAATGCATCCCAGAATCATGTTTGCTTTTTTTGCAACAGCATCACACTGTTGACTCATTATTAAAGTATCCTTGTTCTGTTTGGTTATCAGGTGAGCCCAATTGTTAAGCCTACCCACACAGAGGGCCACTATAATGTTATCCCCAGCACAGGTTGCTTTGTCCTTCTATTGAAGTTTGTTTATAAATGTCACCATGAACTGCACCACATGTGTAATAGTCACAGATTACTTGTAAATCTTACATTAATTCTCAAATAGCTGTGGATATCTGTATATGGATCATACTCTTACTCCTAATCCCAACTTTTTTGTAACTGCCGCAATAGAAAAATGTCATAATCTGAGTACAACCATTGTACTATTATGTAAATACAGACACCATGGAAGGGATTTTTTGTTGACGGCGGATAGTGCCTACCTGAAGCAGATGGTATAAATAAAACAAGACTATGAATTAAGAAGCTATAATGGTGTCCAGTATCAGAGGTGTTGCCGTGTTAGTCTGGATCTGTAAAAAGCAACAAAGAGTCTTGTGGCACCTTATAGACTAACAGATGTATTGGAGCATAAGCTTTTGTGGGTCATGCATCTTCGTCATGCATCTGGCGAAGTGGGTATTCACCCATGAAAGCTTACGCTCCAATACATCTGTTAGTCTATAAGGTGCCACAGGACTCTTTGAGGCTATAATGGGTTTCCGGAGATATCGTTAAACTCAAGTGATTTGTATAGTTACTAAAATGGAGCAGGACAGGATAACTGACCCTCTCTGTTTTTGGATCTTTCTTGGAACCAAATCTCCAGAGGCAGATTCAAAAATTAGAAAGGGTACAAATGATGGGTTCCAGTTTTGGCCCATCTCTGTGTTTTCTACAGATGTAGTAATAAAACGATAAGTAGAGGGACCCCACCTCTGTCAATCCAGCACTTTTTATGAACATTAAAACTCACTGTTTGTTAAGATAAATTATATTTGTAATTGTCTGCTTTATACTACTTAATTATTATTTAATTAACACAATCTGCCTTCTTGTTAGTGGATTCCCTTTATAGCTCTCCCATGCACAGTCCATTAAAACAGTGGTTGTGGTTCTCACCTTTTACATTCTGTGACCCCAAGTTATAACAGAAAAATGTTTTGGTGACCCACCTGCCATTTACCCATAAAGAAAGGGCGGGTGGTGGCAACTCCCTGAAATCTATTTGTGACCTCCTGGGGGTTGCAACATCCAGGTCTAGAACCTGTGAGTTATCACACTCTCCCTCCGAGTTATTCTTCACTTATTTTTTATTCTTAATGGATGAAAGTCACCCCAGTGCACACCTTAGTAGAAAACTCCTATAGAATGTAGGTGATTGAAGCAATAGGGTTCTTGAGAAATTGAATAGGATTCTGTGACAATTGTTTAACAGAGAATGAGATCCTTGCAACTGTTTTTTATTTAAACCATCCTATAGAATTCTATAGCAAGGATATAATTCTGTCTTAATGTATAAGGGATGGTTCTAAAAACCTACAGAAAGGTTGTCATTTTCTATTAAATTATGTAAGACTGTTCCATAAGAATAGGGCCAGCAAAAGATGCCATGCCATTAATGTGGGTGATGTGGCTTAGTTAAATGTTAAATAAAGCCCTCTGCCCTACTGCATTTCACTCAGTATATCACATCTGAAAGCCATTGCAAGTTTATAGTGTTTCCATTATTGATTAATTCCATAGCTCTTTGTTATGCTAAATACTTTAAAGATGGATTCAGAGTCCCTTAGTACTGATTGATTAGGCATTATCACAAGCTACCATCTGGTTACAATTCAAGTGCACATCCGCCCTTGAACACCTATAAGATTTATGTGATATTTTGCCCCCACCCAACTTTTAAGGAATTTAATTCTCATGTAATGTGCCTGCTGACTGAAACCCACTATCCACACAACAAGTATACTAAGGAAAGTGGGGTCAGCTTCCCAACTGACATGCCCAGTGGCCTTCAGCCCTGATCTATCTCTGGACCCAGTTCAGGAAGGCGCCAAGCTGAAGGCACCTAGGTAGTCCTGTTGACCTCAAAGGGACTGCTCACATGCCCAAGTACCTTCCTGAGTCACTGGATGAAATCCTGGCTCCACTGAATTCAACACGAATTTTAACTTGAGTTTGGCCAGAATGTCGCATCAGGGGTCACTATGAGATGAGAGGCTTGTTTTTCTCCAGAGCCCACTCCATTCTCTGCTGATACCACCACCAAGGATGACAGTAGCAGTTTTACGATGTGGACACATGACTACTAGCCCCCGGGTGTAATGGACAATAAAATCTGCAGCTGCTTATTTTCATTGGTTATAATTCTATACCCAAAATGAACATTAGGCTGTAGAGGAGCTTGGCACATTAGGCTGTAGAGGAGCTTATGGTCTAAAGACACCTCAGAGACTTCAAAACAATTTTTAAAACAACCAAGTGTCAAAATGGGTTTGTTTTTTTCCTAAAGTTCTCCTGGTCACAGGCACAGGCTTTCCTGTATTTGTTGATGCAACATGGAAGCCCCCTTGAGTGCAGGCAGATGAAATGAAGGCCTGTTTGGTGAAATCAATAGTTCTTTTCAAATCCACTATTAGCCCATTTCTAAATTGGTCTCTGAATTGTTTTATGAAACTAAATCCCTGTTAGAGCAGGGAAGTGGAGGCTGTGTCATAGCTAGGCAATAAACCAATTGAAAAATCATCATTTAAACTGCCCGCAGCTCAAACTATACCTCTCAGCCTGCCAAGGCCCAAACGTAGATCTAATGTATGACAAAGACACAAAATGAGAGGGGGACTGCAGGAAATTGATGCAGTCATGGGATTCCTTCAGCTAGTGTAACTACCTCTCTCTATAACCTCAATTTCGCATTTCCGATTTACACAATTTTCCACCATAAAAGTGAGGGGAGCACTACATTTATGTAGAGTAGTGTTAACTTTGGGACTAAAATGAAGTTTGCCCCAAATTTAAGCATGTGTTTCACTGCTTTACTGGACTGGGGGCCATGGAGTGGAAAAGTTGGGATTGTGCCGGGCACTTAGAGATTCAAGGATTTTCTGTCCCCTCTCGAGAGGAAGGGTCCAGGGGTTAGGGTGCTAGCCTGCGTAGTCTGAGTCCCAGCCTCTTTTCCCTGCGCTGCCACAGACTTCTTGTGTGACCTTGGTCAAGTCACTTGGCCATTCTGTGCTTCTATTCCCCAGCTGTTAAGTGGAGATTATCACACTTCCCTACTCACAGGAAGGTGTGTGAATGAGTACGTTGAGGATGGCGAGGTGCTCAGATGCTATGGTAATAGGGGAGGTCCTAGAAATACCTCAGATAGATAGATACAGGGCCAAGTATAATCTGGCCCTGAATGTATGGGGTTTATGCGTAATCAGGAGTGATTGTGCCAAAATGCGAACTGTCCCTAGTGATGACACCACGTTAGCCTAACCAGCCACAGCTTGGTTTGTGTGACCAAATCTAGTTGTAGTGCCCCAAATATATCAACACGTGGGGTGAGATTTTTGTGCTGCTTCTCTGTGAGGTGCAACATAAAACTCTCAGCCCAGAGGGAGGGGGGCTCAGATGGCTATCAGCCAGCTTTGTGCTCTCCTATTGTGGGCTACTGTGGGGCTGATGTGGCTCTGGAGTAAATTAGCAAAACCTGGAGCATACCCTGCAGCAGCATAAAAGGACCATAACAGAGGGGAGAATTCTTCCAGTGGCATTTAAGGAGGCCTCGTAAGAAGCTGCCATGCAACAAATTATCTGTTGAATTCCTGCCCTAGTCCCATGAACAGCCATTGCTAATGAATCTATAAAAGAAGCTTCATTGCCACAGCTACAACCCAGTTGTATATTGAAAAAGCACAACTTCAGCATTGACTAGTTAAGCAAATGTGGGGAAAAGCTGCCGTGAAATTGCGAGGGACTTTGGAATGGTTCAGGTTACAGCAATGCAGGAGAGGAATACTGACCCTTAGCTGACTTCTGTATGGAGCACTTCATAAATCTTTAATATGTGACGTGCTGCTTGTCAGCTTTCATTTATTTTCTTTCTTCTCTTATCAGGGGGACAGGAAGACTGCATCCTATCCTATGAACCTGTCACGAGACAGGAAAGTAAGTTTCACCTGCTGTTCTATTATTACCGTTATTATTTATCATGCCAAGGGGCCAGCTGAGAACTGGGCCCTGTGGGGCCAGGCTCTGTTCAAACACAGAATAAGAGACCATCCTTGCCCCAAAGAGCCTACACGTCTAAATAAACAAGCCAGACAGAGTGTAAGGAAAGGGATACAAGAAACAGTGAACAGCACAATGGCAGCAGATGTCATGTTAGTGCTTGGATTTTTATTTATTTATTGGTTTGTCTTTCTTAGATATTTTTGGTGAGATGTTTTGGGAAGGGATGAGCTAGAGGGAAAGACAAAGGAGAGGGGAGGGGCTGAGTCAGAAGGCAGGAGGGGCTGGAGCACACACCTAGACCCTGCAAAGGTCTGCTCCATCTGAGAGCTCTGGAATAGTACCTTATATACAAAATAGCGCCTCACTCATGTGCAACAAAAATAGATTTATTACTGTAAATGAGCATCTAAAATCTTCTAAAACTTCAATCCACACTTATGAGCTATAAATCAGTTTTGGTTAGCTAGTGTACATATCTGATATTACTGTCAGAATAAAAAAAAGTTATAGTCTTCATCTGAATATCACTTTCCTTTCTGTTGTTCAGTTAATTACACCAGACCCGTTATTATTTTGGGTCCTATAAAAGATCGGCTCAATGATGATTTGATATCTGAATTCCCTGATAAGTTTGGATCATGTGTACCACGTAAGTACTCTTTTCTACCTACTCCCAAATTCTGTAGCAGTTATGTTCTTTGATGTCATGCCTACAATGCAAAAAGCAGCGTCAATATTTATTTTATGTAATCGTATTTCTCAAAAGAAATTTTTAAAATCTGTAATTGAGATGTAAAACTCCTAGCCAAGATCCAGCTGAGATGCACTGTTTTGTAGAAGATGTGCAGGAAATGGAATTTCTGTCCCATGGGAAACTTCACATTTCTAAAAAAAAAAAAAAAAATTTGTTCCAAATGGGGAAATGAAAAGTCAGAAATGCAAAATTTCCCACAGAACACAAATGTTTGTAACAATCCATTTTGGAAGACCCCACATTGAAATTTCCAGCCACCTCACCCATCAGGGAGCCAGGCTGAACAGCCTGCCCAAGAGCAGCCCAGGAAGCCAGCCAGGAAGATATGGAGCCAGGTAGCCCACCCAACCGGCAAGCAAGCCAGACAGGGAACCAGCTGCTAGCTCCTTGGTAATCCAGGGAGATGGGGAGCCAAGCACTTTGCCTGCCTGCCCACCCACTAGGGCGGCCCAGGAAGTCAGCCAGCTGGGGAGCAGGCCACCCATGGAGTCTGGGATTCCTGGCTTTGTGCCTGGTGGAAGCCTGGAAGCCTGGACTCCCCCCCCCCTCCGCCAAGTGAGATGCCAAGGACCTGGAAGCTCTGGGAGCCAGCTCAGGTGGGCTCCCAGAGAGCATGGGAGCCCAGGGAGCTCTGGGTCCTAAGCTCCCCACCAATTAGAAAGCATATTGGATGCATTTCTCAGTCATTCAGCCTTTCTCTCTCAGACCTCCCTCTCCCCTAGGACTTATCATGGGATAAGGGGGACATTTTTATGGGCGCCCTTTGTTGAAATGCTGGAGGCACTTATGAGCTGCACCCGCTTACACCAGATCTGAATTTGCCCAGGAGTGGTCTCTGTTCAGTCGTATATTTTTTGTGAGAAAAGTGCCTATGTACATCCTCATTTTCCCATCTTTTGTTGGTCTGTGCAGATACCACAAGACCTAAGCGTGACTATGAAGTGGATGGGAGAGATTATCATTTTGTCACTTCGAGGGAACAGATGGAAAAGGATATCCAGGAGCACAAATTTATAGAAGCTGGGCAGTACAATGATAATTTATATGGGACTAGTGTGCAGTCTGTGAGATTCGTAGCAGAACGGGTAGGTTATATCCATTTGTACTGCACTTGCAACACAGCCTGTTTTGTACCACCGCAGCCTTTCAGACAGCTGTAAATATGCAAAATAGCCTCAAAATAGTGTCCTCAAACTTATGGATATTTAAGGCTGCAAACAAGTTGTGATTTTTTTTTATTTGTTTAAAAGTTGCAGCCATGGGTTTGCTAAAGTTGTGGTCACACCAAAACTGCAACTCCGCCACACACACAGCCCCCCGCCCAAGCCCCCGAATTTCCCAGGAGAGAGTTGCCATTGCAGCCAGGAGCAGGCAGAAGTGCCTGGACCGGGCACCCCCACCCCAGTGTCGGGAGCAGCACAGGCTCTTCCTCCCCCTGCATTGCAACCCCCGACTGGGCCAGGCTGCTGGGCCTCATTTCAGTAGAGGGGCAGCTGGGTCAAATCTGAGTCAGTGACATTGTGACCTGGTGCGCAGGCTCGCAACACAGGGCTGCCATTGTAAGCCAGGCTGTTCCCCATCTCAGTGGGGAGCAGAGGCATGCGCAGCTGCAGAGAGACGGTCCCTGCCCCCAGCAGCAACATCCAAAGGCTGAAATTTGCAGCAAAAAGTTGCAGTGTCTGCTACAAGTTGCTCTTAGGGCAATAAAATCCACGATTTTCTTACAGCTTTACAGATATTAGAATCGCTCTGAAAATAAAGAACCTAGCCATGAAGGGGGCCAGTCCAGCTAGGCTTGGGTTTGACAGAATGAGGGGGAAACTTAATGAGGAAGAGAAATGAAAGCTAGAAACGTAATGAAAAGATTGACTGGGGATTATAAACGTAAACTTGGGCCCATTGAAGACAATTGCAAGACTCTGATTGGTCTAGATTCTGCTCTGACTTTTACACTGATGTAAGTCCATGGTAGTCAATATAATTACTCTGGATTTACACCAGTGTGTGACCATGAGCAGATTTGCCCCCAGTGTGGTAATACTGAGAGTTAGGTAGAAGTTAAGAGCAGGGAGCACATTTCTCTCTTGTCCGGGGTCCAGTAGTACATGAGTTACTTCATGGAAGGGATAATGGTAAATAAATGTTATTTATTTAAAACTTCCTCCCTTTTCTCTTCTTTGGGAGAAGACCAGCTAGCCCCATCCTATCTCTTCAAAGGCCAAACTATTAGATACCATCAGGACACTCTCTCCTTTTGTTTTAAAGGTGCAAAGTTTCTTCTCACTGAACTTAGAGTTAAGCTGAGATGGAAAGGGACGGTCTTTGTTCTCCTAAAGATACACTAGACCATTGTCAGTATGTAGTGAAGGGTATGCAGGCACCAGTGCTCTTGACCAAAAGTGACATTCTTCTCTGCAAAGTTTAATTTCATGTCATCCCTTTCACTTTAACTTCTAGATGCAACCAGAATATAATTAAATTCAGGCTAAGTGCCCCTGAGTACTATTTGAATGCCCACCATGGCCAAAGTATGCTAAGTAACCCACAACACCTGGAGGTGTGGAATTTCTCTGCACTCGTCTGCAATCCCAAGAGCATTGCCTTTGGGCAGCATTCAAACCAGTCAGCATGTCTGGAGTTCTTTCTATTCCAGATGCGGTACCCCGCATCCAAGAACATAACATCACAGCAATACGAATAGCAAAACACCCTTCCTACCTTTCAGTCAGCATACATCTCCACGATATTTTTCTGACCTTGGAGAAAGGATGTGATTTAAGCACAGGATTAGGTGCCTTGGACTCTTGAGTTCTAATCCCATCTCTGAGACAGGCTCCCTCTGTGGCCCTGGCCAAGTCATTTCACCTCTGTGTCTCAGTTTCTCTACCTGTAAAATGAGAATAATGCACACCTACCTCATAGGGTAGTATCCAGATTATTTAAATAGTTAATCTTTGTAAAGCAGTTGAAGATGAAAAGTGTTTTATAAATGCTGAGTATTACAACAATACATAACACAAAATGCGTCATGAACATTAATAATTGTAGCCTTACAGACACCCCTGAGAGGTAGGTAAGTATTATTAGCCCCATTTTACAGATATGTAAAATGAGGCACAAAGAGGTTAAGTGACTTGCTCAAGGTCACACAGGAAGTCTGTGTCAGAGCCAGGAACTGACCCCCACCCCCAGATCTCCTGACTTCCTGCTCTGTACCTCAAGTACAAGGGCATGCTGTTATTCTTAGGAACAAGATTTGCTGATGTCCACATAAAATCCTCCCCTCCCATCTTTAAGTTCATCCTAGTTGATCCTCCAAAACTGATAATGTTGTTTTCCACATCTTCAATTTATTTCTTTTACTGGCATCAAAGCAAAAGAAATATTGTGGAAGTAAACAGCCGAGTAAGTGCCCTGGAGCCTAGCCTTCTCTTGGTGAGTTAGTAATGTTTGTTTTCTGGAACACTGCATTTTAGGATTCCTTCCTTTCTTTTGGTTGATTTGCAATAAACGCTGCAGAAATAAACACAGCCTCATCTGTTTCCAACAGGGCAAGCACTGTATACTTGATGTATCAGGAAATGCTATTAAACGGTTACAAGCTGCACAACTCTATCCCATTGCTATCTTCATTAAACCTAAATCATTGGAGCCACTAATGTAAGTATATAATCTTCTAGGCTAGTTTTGGACTCCTGTCTCAGAAGGCACAGCAAAGGTCTCATGTTAGCATTTTGCCTGTTCTCCAGAGTCAGGAAAACCAAACAAATCTGGAATACTAAAGAACTTATTTTCATTTACACAATAAATAACCAGTCAGCATTACCTAGATGTTTGAGAATGGAAGTCAGACAACCTATAGCCTGTGTCCACTCACCGTTTGATTTTTTGGGAGGTGACTTAAATGCTCTGGGTTTTCCGCATCTGTAAAATGTTTTCATTATTTATTTAGCACTGACACTGCATCTGGTGCTGTACAATACACAAAAATAAAGATGGTCCCTTGTCTGATGAGCATACAGTCTACAGAAAAGGCACATACAAGATTCAACACAATTAGAAAAGCAGAGGTGGAGATAATGTAAAGGTTTGATTTGTTTGGTATAAGAATACCTACCCAGCGTAAGAAGAGCTCAATGGAGGCAGAGCACTATATACCTGCAAAGCGTTATGATTGATATCCTATTATTAAACAAGCAACAACTAAGTTTGGGGCAGTTTCTTTAAGGATATGTATCAAAAATATAGGGAGGCTATTTTTTACTTTCATTAGAGTAAAAAAAGCTTTCAGCCAAATCTCATCAGTGCAGACAGTACTACAGGGACAAACAATGTGAAATCCATTATTTTTTGCTTCTGGAATAAGAGGCTTTTATAGATCTTTGAATGTCGTATTTCAGAAATTCTCTGCAGAAGGAGCTTTTAACTAGAATGTCAAGCTTTTGTAAGAACAACAACTAGGGTCCTTGAAGCATGGTTTATATGAGTATGTTATGCAAACAGAATAAGACTAAAAAATTCCTAAAAAGAATAGGAAATATATAGAATTCAGACACTCCAAATTATTTGAACATGTACAGATTCCATGCTTTCCCGTGCAGCCAACACGAGGGAAGTCATCTCTTTAATATGTGTCTTCCTAAGGAACCATCACTAACAGTTAGTTTTCAATATGAATAAAAACCTCTCAACATAGTTAATAGAATTCTTTCTGAGGCCAATGTCAAGAGGATAATGGCACAACACTGAACTGTTTACCCAGGAAAGTTACTCTAGGGTGACCAGATGTCCCAATTTTATAGGGACAGTCCCAATTTTTGGGTCTTTTTCTTATATAGGCTCCTATTACCCCCCAACCCCGTCCCGATTTTTCACATTTGCTGTCTGGTCACCCTAAGTTACCCACGTCACTGAACTGTACTGTAGTGAAATGACTAGGTCTCAGGGCTTTTTTACAAGGGGACAGGAAAGTTAAGGCAAATCAACTAAAGGTGTGAAATCAATGTGCAGGAGTTAAAATGCAGGGCTAAATCTTCCAAGCAGCTGTTCTCACTCTGGAGTAAAGTGGGCCTAGTCCTCCAAGGAAGATGATTAGAGCAGCCATGTGGGGGGTTTAACATGCTTTAACTTTAGTTGATTTACATTAACTTTCCTGAGTGTCGCCATGTAGACATGGCCTTAGTAATCTAAGGTTTCTAATGACAAGTAATACAGCTAAGGCTTGTCTGCACACACAAGTTGTACCACTTTAACTACTCCAGCATAGTTACGTCAGTACACACACACCCTTAGTGCAGATGCAGCTATACAGGTATAAAAGTGCCATATACCAGTACAGGAAGGGGCATAATAAGGCACCTTCATACCAATATTACTGTGTCCACATTATTAATTGTACAGGTATAATGATTTCAGTAAAAAATTACATCCATAGCCAAAATACCGGTAGTTATACCAGTACAATAAACTGTGCATAGACCAGACATAAGATTTAACTACACTTAACCAAGACTCCCTGTCACGCAAACAAGTTTAACGTCAATATAATAACCAAATAAACCACACCTGACAAAAAATTGCCAATGAGAACAAACACAAAGACAAAAACCATAAAGATGACTTGTCGCTGAAATGATTAAATAAAACTGAAGGGCTCAATTCTCATTTACACTAAGGGTATGTCTTCACTACCGGCCGGATCGGTGGGCAGCAATGGATCCAGCAGGGATCGATTTATCGCGTCTAGTCTAGACGCGATAAATTGATCCCCGAGCGCTCTCCCGTCGACGCCTGTACTGCAGCTCAGTGAGATGTGCAGGCGGAGTCGACGGGGGAGCAGCAGCAGTCGATTCACCGTAGTGAAGACACCTCGGTAAGTAGTTCTAAGTACGTCGACTTCAGCTACGTTGTTCACGTAGCTGAAGTTGCGTAACTTAGATCGATCTCCCCCCTAGTGTAGACCAGGCCTAGGGCTCCTTTACATCACTCTGGCAATATCTAAAGGGTCTTCCACTGCTAGTACAGTAACAAGGCCTTAGCATGAGTGAGAGTCCAGCCTGAAGATTTTGGTAGATAGCAATCCTTCCATTGAATGGTAATGTTGCAAACTTAGTACTATGAGACAGATTTACATATACTAATTCCAAACCTATTAATATAACCCATAAATGACTGACATATGTTTTCAAATAAACCTTCCCGCTCCTGTACTCTATAAATCTACCCTCTGGAATGATGGAACCAAAGTAAGGAATACTGTATTTTACAGAGACGTTGCTACAAATATTGTGTGATTGCTGAAGCAACATTCATGGGGTTACACATTCAGTTATACAAACAGCCAACTTTAGAGACATTTATAGAAATACATTTTTGTAGCTTTAACTACCCATGATATATATATATATATACAGCATTTTTCAGCAGGCAGTTTCTGTCCCTGATGAAAGAAACTAAGGGGTAGGTCAACTGTAACAAATGCATGCTGTCATGCACTCATGGATCATTCTTTATGCATCATCATGCACATAATTTCCTACATGCATCACATGCCATGCCATATACAGTCCATTACCACATATTCATGTGGTTTCAGTGCAGAACATTAAATGAGGTTTATGTGGAATACAGGATGCTTCCTTTTATAATATGGTGTGAGCTTGTTTTCCTATGTTACCTTGACAAAGTTCCCTGCTCGTCTGAAAAATAAGTAACCATGTTATAGAAAAGGTAGAGCAAACTAGGTCTGTATTTTATTGTTAAAACTTTGGACATCTTCTGGTGTACACAAAGCCCTAAATCAACATGGACATTGTTCTTTCTGGGCCACAATACACAGTATTAACAGCTGTACATATACATAAAATTACAGTAATTAAGTGTCAAGTATCAGAGGGGTAGCCGTGTTAGTCTGGATCTGTAAAAGCAGCAAAGAGTCCTGTGGCACCTTATAGACTAACAGACGTATTGGAGCATGAGCTTTCGTGGATGAATACCCACTTCGTCAGATGTAAGACACCAGGGCAGCCTGGTGTAGTGGGTGGTGCACTGGCCTGGGACCCAGGAGACCTGGGTTTGATTCCTGGCTTTACCGCGGACCTTAGGCTAGTTTGTTTGTTTCCTCTCCCTTCCTTTGTTTCGATTACAACCTCTTTGGGGGCAGGAACTGTCTTGCTATGTATCAGTGGCATGTCTAGCACAATGGGGCCCTGATCTCATCTGGGGCCTGGAAGAAGAGGAGGAGGAAGGGCGGACTCCATCCAACCGAGGCTTCATTAAAGTCCCTCCAGACTGCTGCCTCCTTATAAGCAGCGCCCCCTTTTTCCCGGGGCAGAGACCCACCCAGCGCCGTCTGCCGCCCCGATCCCTGACGAAGTGGGTATTCACCCACGAAAGCTCACGCTCCAATATGTCTGTTAGTCTATAAAGTGCCACAGGACTCTTTGCAGTAATTAAGTGGTGTCCCGGTAATCTTAGCTACTCCATCAAATGGTAAAACTAGTGCAATACAAGAATGTTACTGGTATTCGGTACATTTATGGTCTACATTTTACCATACAAATGGTATTACAGAAGCTATTCCTTTAACTAGAAAAAACAGGAACAGAAAATACTACCAATATGGAACATCATCAAGCTACCTTTTCTGTTGGAACTGTCAAGTTTTTGTTTCTCGTGGCTGGCTGTGATTTTGACTGTCTGCTTCAACTCACGTTAACAGAGGGGGGGGTTGCATTACATTTCCTCGGGTTTCGTTTTTGAAGACGTGGGGAGGAAAGAAATTGGCTGGACTTAGTACCAGATGGTCCTTAGCCTTCGCGTAAGTGGGCTGTGGGGGAAGAGGGAAGGTGCGGGGGCCAGGAAAAAGAGCAATCCCTGCATATTCAGAGGCACACAAGGGTGCAAATCAGGCTGGCAATCTTAGGGAGGGATTGCGTCGTCCAGAGGCAAAATCCTTTGCCATGCTGTGGTAGGATGCTGGTGGCACCTTAAAGACTAACAGATTTATTTGGACATAAGCTTTCGTGAGTAAAAACCTCACTTCTCCATGCATCCGAAGAAGTGAGGTTTTTACTCACGAAAGCTTATGCCCAAATAAATCTGTTAGTCTTTAAGGTGCCACCAGACTCCTTGTTGTTTTTGTAGATACAGACTAACACGGCTACCTCCTGATACTTGTGGTAGGATGGTGCATCTCCACACTGCGCCCAAAAGACGGCTGTGCCTCAGTGGCACAATATAAATGTTACCTGTCAGGCCTTTACAGGTAATACCTGCTATTTGGGAGCTAGAGATTTTTCTGTTAAGCTGCTACATTATCACAGCTGTATCTTCACCATGGAAAAAGGGAGAATCATTTGCTCTCATTTGCAAGGAGAGTCTATAAAACCAGAGATGTCTGGGGTTTCCCTTGTTTGTCCCTATGATTTTTCTCTTGTTCTTGATGTTAAGGTATCTGTGTCTGCCTAAGAAATATCTACACACGCTCCTTCTCATACACTAATGCGTGTGCCTACACACACGCACAGTGGAACCTACTTAAAGTGAACGCCAGTCGCTGAAATTATGTCTATTGGAAAATAGAATGAAAGTTCCGAAATTAATATGCAAATTGAAATTCCAGTTACAACAAAACGAGTGGTGGAGTGAGTTCCACTGTAAGAAGGTCCCTGTACATATAACAGATGTACAGTAATGCGGGAGGAGTTTTGCACAGGAGCCACACCCATTGTAATCTTAGGATCCACCCAGCCTACACCTTGTTCTAGCGCTCTAAAAGCCTCCCATGGCATTAAGAGACAGCCCTCCTTCAGCAGTCTCTCCTGTACTGCTATTACTGCCATCACCTCACCCTCACTCTGCCCCTGGCCTCTCTCTGCTCCCATCATGCACTAGGATGAGACATGGTCACCCCTCTCTTGCATCTCCATGCTGTCTGACTGCAGAAGGTTAAGTTTTCATTGATGCATAAATTGTGAGGCCTGAAGGAACCATGACGATCATCTAGTCAGACCTCCTGCACAACATGGGCCAAAGAATTCCACCCCGTAATTCTTGTCTCAAGACCAATAATTTCTGGTTGAATTACAGTTTACCTTTTAGAAAGACTTCCAATCTTTTTTTAATTCAGATTCAATAAAGGGCTCGATTTGTTAATTACTTTTAACTAATATTTAAAAATATATTTCTAGGGAAATGAATAAACGTCTTACAGAGGAACAAGCCAAGAAAACCTACGAGCGAGCACTTAAATTAGAACAAGAATTTGGAGAATATTTTACAGGTATGAAGTCACTTCAAAACACCTGTCCCCAAGGGTTCAATCCATGACCACAAAGCAGCTGGAGTCAGCTCTGTCTCTAGCTTGAAAGAATGAGTGGTACATGTATATAGTGTGCCACAGTAAAGGCCCGATATTGAGTAGTATCAGTTCCCATTGAAGTCAATGGGAGTTGAATGCATTCAACACTTCGCACAGCAGTTCCTGTATATCAATGCATATATATGAAGTGAATTCTGTGCCTGTTGAAGTCAGTGACAAAACTCCTAGTGACTTCAGTGATGCATGATGGGGACTGATTGTCCCAATCCTGCTCCCATTAAAGTCAGCAGGAATTCTGCGATTCACTTGGCAGGTCCTAGCATCGGGTGCTTGCACTGATCAGCACAGAATTTCATCCTGCTGGACTTCTGCATTTGCCTTTACCATTGTGAACAATATATTGACCTCAAAAGGATTTTTAAAGAGCAAATAATTTGTAAATAATTTTGCAGCTCTACCATGGAAGAATGGAAAGCAGATGATAGGTCAATGCTTTCAGACTCAGTTGCCTTAAAGTTCGGACCTAAATCCATATTCAGGCAGCTAAATACAAGAGAGCCAATTTTCAGAGGTGCAGAGACCACACACCTCCATTAACTGCAGTGGGAGCCAAGCCGGGCACTTTTGAAATTCATTTCCCAAGAGGATCATTTTCTCCCTTTGGCAAATGATCTCTTCACTATATAAAATATGAAATAATACGAGACCAAACTCACTGTTGGCAAAAGCAGATGCAACTTCACTGCGACTTGAAGTCTTTAAATCACGATCTGGAGACTTCAACAGCTGAGATAAGGGAAATTGGGTGGGTCAGCTTTTGTGGCCTGCATCATGCGGGAGGTCAGACTAGATGACCATAATGGTCCCTTCTGACCTTAAAGTCTATGAGTCTATGAGTACCCACTTATACATGACATGAACATGGCCCAAAGTCTAATCTTTGTGGGGAAAATAAAATAATCTCATTTCACTGTAACCGTTGCCAGAACTACACAACTGAGGTGTTACAACTGGGAGCTGGTTAGAATACTTTACCAGTAGCTTGCCAATACTGGATGAAATCCTTTGACTGAAATGGGCCCAGGCTTTTATCCAATGTGCGCTGTGGTTTATGTATAGCCTAGTAGCATTGCAATGTATGCAGTAAAACTGAGCACAAAAAATGCCAGACCTAGAACTTCAGAAAGCACAACATTTCATTCAAGAAACAACCTTTCAACACATAGTGTTGTGTGTGCTGAAAGTAAACACAGAAAACCTCTTTCTGGCAATAAAGGAAGCATGTTCTTCTGTGTCAAGTTGAAGGGTTAAATATAAATACATCTAGACTGTTTTTTGGGCTACAACAAAACACTGGCAATACAGAGGTGTTCTTAAAAAGGGGCCAGTGTACGGACCCTGGGTAACTAATTAGTTACAGACAAAGCAAGGGGACATTTATATTTTTATATTCTAAAGACGGCCAAACATTACAAAATTATGTACTATATGTCTTGTAGCAACTGAATGCAGCGCTGCACAAAATATTTTGATGAAATAGCAGATTGCAGTGAATAAAGGGATGAAGTTTTCACACAAAAATTATGAAAAACTCATGCCATCTTTTTACCAGCTCTGATTAAACAGATTTGCACAAAAAAGTATCTCCGGTTGCCCTTTGCACCGTTTCTACCTGGTTAGTTATGTTCTGAAGAGCCACTCTACTAATTTTCTAATGTTTTCGTTTTCCCCAGAATATAGGAAAGTTTTAGTGAACACATATAATGGTGACCTACATTTCAGTTCAGCTTTTGCCTTATCCCTGGGGTCACCCACAAAATCTTACAGCAGTGAAAATCTTACATTAGTGAAAGGTGTGGGCTAATTCCATGGCCACCAGGAGGGTCTGGTCTGCCAGGATGCAGTTATGGCCACAGAAAGCTGGGCTCCCGGGTTGGTTAGAAAAGCGGGCAGTAACTAGTTCAGGAAGGGTGGGCCACAACCAGGTCAGGCAGAAGATGGACTGTGTAGCCCTGCTACAGCCTCCACTGGCAGGGCTCCTAGGGAGTATGTTGGCAAAATGCAAAGCTTGACTTCCCACAACAGAAATCCCACATCCTGCCCGCCTTTGGAAGTGAATTCTTACTGGGATGCAGGTTTTCAGGCTGGCACAACACGGTGCCATATGCATTTCTCTGCCACAGCAAAGGTGAGCCCAGGCTAATGCTCTTACAATAAGCAATGGCACAGGATCTTTGTTATGGTGGATCACCATTGTATTGGACTCATTTGAGATCTTCAGGGTGCATGGCTTTCCCGACACTGCACGGTTCATGTGCATTATTATTATTTCTTCCAGTTTTATCAACTGCTACGTTAATATTGAAACTGTGCTGACAACTGCTGCTGTAGACCGTACCAATTAAAAATGAATTGTTTTCATATTGCAGCTATTGTCCAAGGAGAAAGCTTAGAAGAAATATATAATCAATGCAAACTTGTAATTGAAGAACAATCTGGGCCTTTCATCTGGATTCCTTCAAAGGAAAAGTTATAAATTAGCCACTGCACCTCTGATTATGACGGAAGAATATTTAGAAGAAAACTACACTATGCTATTTTGAGGCTTTCCTGTTTTTGTTGCATTTATGTTCTTGCAGTCAATGTGAATTTTTATGAATGTACAACACAAAGTGTTTGAAGCCATGAAGGACAGTGATGGGTCAAAAGGGTAGGAACAAAAAGACTTTTACCATACAAAGCAAATCTGTTGTGTGCGCAAAACACCAGTTGTAGGTATAAACTTTTGACATGGGGACCCTCTGTCAAAGGGAGCTAGCCACCTACTGCATCCACATGGACCTCGTGAACGATTTCAGTGGCTGAGCTCAGCGTGTTGATCGGTTTAAAGAGAAGTTTCCCAGCTCCTGAACCTTGCATAGGGCTTGAGCCTGCAAGGGATGAACACTTGACCCCGGTCCATACACCTGTGGGTTGTCCCATTGAAGTCAGTGGGACTAAGCATGTGCTTAAGTGTTTTGATGGATCAGGGTCACGTGCACCTTGTTGGATTGAGCCCATAGAACCTGTTCCAACTCCTATTGAAGTTAATGGAAAGATTCCCATTGACGTTGGATTGGGTGCTAAGCTTGCCATTGCACATCAGTAGTTGGTACACCTTGACTTTGGTAACTATGCACATGTTTTGATTTCCAAAACCAAGTCAAGCATTTCTTTTTCCCCTTTGGACACACTATTATATCAGGAAATAACCCCCTGTAGTTTATTTCAATGGAATTTGGTGTTGGGAAGAGAACAGAAGCATTTCACGTCACACACATACCCACTCACACGTGTGAGGAGTCACAGTACCCAAACTGACAAGGCGGGATACAACTGGGAAAAGCTTTAAAATTTTGGATTGTCTATTTTATCATTTATACTGATAGAAGGCACTTAATGATGGAATAATTTATAAAAAATTAAAATATATTGATGTATAGAAACTAATTTCTATAGGTGAAAAATGTTTTGTGAGATATTTTGTAAAGATTAATTAATTGAAAGATTAAATATTTGCACCCTGGTCTGGCTGTAAAATGTAAAGAGGACCTTCAAGTTGCACTATCCCTTTTTGCAACAAATTATCTAATAATATTAACAAACCATATAATTTCTTACATTTTAGATGGCAATTTGCTTTTTTTTTTCAACTTAATCCTTCTCTTTCCTTTTATTTAATCATGATAAATTCCTGTGGAAAGAACTCAAATTGACTACCCTACAGGGTTTTTGTTGTTGTTATTGTTTTGGAAATACTAGGATGATGCATCTTTAAATTGAAACAGATGATTTTTCGGAGGCAAAATGTCAGTGACTTGAATGCAGTGTATTATTTTCTCTCTTGAAGGGAGCCGTAATCTTCACTGGAAAACATTTTATAATCATTCCTTATGCTGTAAGTGAAATGCCGGAAGCATTTAGTCCTTTTTGCCGGCAGGCCACTGACTAACTTGTGTCATCATTTCATTTCACAGTCAACAGGGGTTTTCACCAGACTGGGGCAATGGACATTTGTGGGGAATTTGGGGAAAATCTGTGGAATTTCAGCTTGGGATATATGGGCGGGGGGTGGGGAGTTCTTGCTTGCTGTTTCTCTTGGCCCTTATTTCATATACTGATACAGCTTTCGCTGTACCACATCTGGAGGATAGTTACAAATAGATGAACTGCCTTTGCTGATGCAGGACCACGTTTTATAGAAAACCCACAAAATACTGCAGGAGTCCAACACTTTTTAGCTGGTGGCTACTTCGATCCTAATGTGTAATGACATTTTAAGGGCAAACATTTCAGTTACCGATAGAATACTCGATTACTTGTCTATTCAAAACTTTCAGACTTATGTCTCTATGCTGTTCTGATACGACAGGTACATGCAGCCACTCTCAGTAAATAGGCTGATTAGCTGGATGTTTATAAGACAGCCATCAGCAGTGACAGGGTTAACAATATGGGTACTGTAGCGATCGTTAGGCCTCATGGTTAACGCTGTATTAAAATGGATGTGAGAAGTTCATGCTTCCTTCATTGTTATTTTTTTTCTGCCTGGCCAGCACAGATTCAAAGACAGAATAACAGTAGAGTTTCTGAACTATCTCCATCACCAGAAGGGCTAGACATGTAAAAAGAAAGAAAGAAAGCTTAGATTCTGGATAATTATGCAGAAATCCACAGGAAGAAATCCTAGATCCCTGGAAGTCATGGATTTTTCCATGTTGACAAAGTACTATTGTCTCAGGTCCGGCCCGAGCCCACCTGAACTGATAATCAAGTATCCTAAAGCAGGAACTCCATTCTAATTTTCAACTCCGTTTTTAAGCAACCACATCTGCTTCTTTGTTTCTTTGTTCAGCATGCGCCCTTTTACGATACTATCCTATTAGTAAATGTTCTGTTTTGTCATGTGCTGTGCTTTACGGTGAACAGTAACACTATGGCTGAGTACAATCAATTTTTCCATCAGTCTTTGGTTACTGTGGTACATTATTTATTTTTTCCTGTCTGTTGTTTGTGCTTCCAATTTAGAGTTGCCATTGCACTTCTTATATTTTTTAAATAAAACATATATATATTTAAAAAAAAATCACCAACAGCAGCAATGAGAGGTCTTATTTCCTGTAGGGTTTATACCTCCATTTGTTTTGTGTCTTGATGTTTTGCGTTTCATGTTACAGCATACTTAGTGCTGCAGTTTGCAGCCATTCAAAGTTGCATTGGGTGGCAGAGAGAAGAGAAATATGAAGTTAACTCAGTTATATCTGGTGCAAAAAAAAAATCAGTTTGGCGCCTCAGACCATATTGGTGCTAATACCCAGTAAACATTAGCAGCTCTCTCTCTCTGTCTATATAAAAAACTGGCAGGTGTCTAAGAGACAACATGCAAATGCTGGACCCTTTAGGAAAAGTGCCAGATCACATCACTGGTGCTATTTCTCATGTTCTGGCACAATGTGTAGCACCACAGGGTCTAAGTTGAACCAAAAATATCATGGCTTATTGTCCATCCATGAACGATCACACTGACATCTTGCTATCTTTGTACAGATGTGCAATATTTCAACCTATTTATTTCTCCTCCCCATAAATCATCTTCCGTGCACTGGCCTCTCTTAGAACGTGCTACTGGGGCTCAATGAACTTACACTCTGGTGGTCTTACTACCCAATGCAAGAGCCTCTCTTTCCACCTTAATTCCCCTTTTCACCAGGTAAAGAGGCCCCTTGTCTACACTAGCACTTTGTAACCACTTATATTAAAGGCGCTCTCGCAAATAAATAATATGTAATGTAACTGTGTTAGTAGTTAAGCATGGCTTGATGAGCCAGTGTGGATAGGGCCCTAGAAGTCATCCCGTGAAAGAAAAGTCAGGGTTAAATCTCTCCCTTGCACTGGGCTTTCAAATCCTCACGCTGGAACGCAATGCTGAATCTGAGCTAATAATAATTATGAGCCATCTCTAGCTATGTGTCCTAGTGACCTAGTTAGTGAACATCTTCTCAGCTAGTTCTATTATTTTTCTATGGAGAGTTTGATGGTGTGTTGCACTTTCATTGCAAACGCTTAGCAAAAGTCAGTCAATTGAGTGGGAGGGGCTGGGTTTTTTTGCTTTTTAAGTCCACAAAAGGATTATTCAGTGAGTGACCATGTGTGTAAATATTTGTAGAAAAAGCACGCAAGAACAAAAGCCTATGTCCTCTTTTTGCAGCCTCAGAGTTAAAGCCATACCATCTCCCCCCCCCTCACAAAAGGAGGTCTTGCATCAGTCACAATGTTGAATGGGGATTTTTTTCTCTTAAACAGCCTCTCCGCAACTGTATGCATGAGTTTTATCTGGTGACTGTTTTCATGCACTTGAGCCCATTTCTTAATGAAGTAAATCTATTTTCCAGTCCCATCAAAAATGATAACACAGCATCTAGTCCACTAGCACAGCATTAATAACTGCTCATCAATACATAAGAAGAGGAACAGTTCCCTTGAAATATATTATGGGGTGCAAACCATTATCAACACTGACAGCAACACAATCTAAATTCTATTCAGAAGCCGGTAGGGGTGGGGCTGGATCCTCAGCTGGTGTACAGCATTGTTGCTCCATTGACTTGAGTGGCGCTCATCCCATTTATGTCACCTGTAGCTACATATAATAGTTCCCCTCATGTTAGCCTGTATTTAGGACCCAACAGTCTATTACTCCATAACATTAAGGGCTAGATTTTTCCAAACTCCTCAGCACTCACAGTTTGGTCCAGATTTTTAAAAGTGCTAAGCTCCCACCTGGATCAATTATTACTACTAGTATGACTTAATATTTGTATTGGGATAGCGCGTAGGCGTCGGGCCCCACTATGCTAGGTGCTGTATGCACAGAATAAAATGACCATCGTCTCAGCCCCAAACAGCAGGTGGATTTTCAAAAGGGTTCAGCACACAAAAGCTCCTATTGAGTGTGACAGGAGCTATTGGGTGCAGAAGACTACACCACTGGGAGCTAGATTCTGCCTCTCTGCCTCACACTTATTCAGTTCCCTGACCTGTTGATCTGGCTCAGACTAACCGCAAAGGCCTGACATAAGACAGCATGTGAGAGGGTGGGGTATATCACTCGCCAAATAGAAGGAGACATCTAAACAAATGACACTGTTGACCTCCCCCAGTGGAAGAATGAACTTTTAATTATCTTAATTTCTGGACTTGTTTCCTAAGTTTGAACTGGCTGGTCTGAACTTTTGAGCGGCAACAGGCTGTACGCAGACTGCTTTTGTTTGATACTTGATGCTGTGTGTCTGCTTGACAGGATGTTTCTCAAGTCAGCTATAGTTGGGGATACTCAGAATCTGAACAAAGTACACTATACAGCTTACAGTCCTGTTAAGTGTAAATATTCTACGCCTCCATGCCATTCGTGTAAAGAATAAAGCACACACAATTATAAAAATTGAGATGTATATTTCATACTAGTTGTGTCCTTGCTTATTTATTCCATTACAAGCTCTCAGTTGTGGTTCAGTTGTAAATGCTTGATAGAGTGTTTATAAATATGTCATGAATTTTATTATAAAATATTAATATTAAAGCATTTTTACACTTTATAGCAAATGGCTCCTTCACAAGGCATAATTTGTCTTTTTTTTCCTTAAGGTGAAGTAGTAAAAGGGAATGTGTATGCATTTAATTTGTGCTGAGACATGTTCAGATTCATTACACAAGCCAAACTGTTTGGATAAACACAATTCTGGCAGTGAGCAGTGATACCAAAGAGGCATTATAGAAATGAAGGCTGGAAAGGCCCTCGAGAGGTCATCTAGTCCAGACCCCTCCCCCATACATACACATAGCCAGCTCAGGTATGCCTAGACCATCCGTGACAGGTGTCTGACTAACTTGTTGATAAAAAACACCCATGATGGTGAGTCCACAACTGCCCTTGGTAACCTGTTCCAGTACTTAACTATCCTTCTAGTTAGAAAGATTTTCCCTAATGTCGTACCTAAATCTCCCTTGCTGCAGAAGAAGCCCATTATCACTTGTCCGACTAATCAATCATTGTCTTCTTTATATCAGGTTCCCCTCAGTCTTTTCTAAAGTTTAAACATGTCGACTTTTTTTTTTTTAATTGTTCGTCACAGACCCTGTTTTCTAGCCCCTTTAGCATTTTTACTGCTCTCCTATAGTTCCCTCCAATCTGGCCACATCGGTCTTTAAGTGTGGCACCCAGAATTGGACATAGTCCTCTTGTTGAGGCTCACCAGAGCCGAACAGAGAGGGATAGTTACCTCCCAAACCTCACATACAACACTCCTGTTAATCACAATAACCCTCTTCCTGCTGCACTGGCCCCTTTTATTGAGAGAGAGGGAAGAGGCTTCAGATGTACTGTATGGAATATTAAATCATGGGGAGAAATGCCATTTTCCTATGCTTTCTGCCTTTGACATTTATTGGGTACAGTCAATGTATGTGTGTGATTTCTTGGTGTATGTTTCTTTAAGGAGTTGTGCTATATTTCTAGGCTCACATCGGCATTATGTGACCAGCAGCCTAAATATTTTCTTTTGTTTAATTCACACACCAGACTTAACTGAAATGTTGACTTAGTGGAACATATGCGTCTATTATTCTGCATTGTACTAACTGGCATGTAACATTGGCCCTGGTCCTCCAACTGACTCTTTGCAGATGGATCTTTGGGCCCATGTGACGCCCATTGACTTCAGTGATTTCTCTGCACAGGGGTAGAGCTGACTGCAGGCCCTTTGTTTTTAATATTAACTGATAGAAGAAATGGAAGTGTGGATCAGAGAACTGTAAACGATTAGAGCAAAGCTGCCCATGCACAGAATTTTCAAACAATGGTTAATAGTCAAAGCCATAATTGTAATATTTTGTATTACTTGGACAGAGCCAGAACTTATGGGGAAATCTAAAAATCGCCCAGTATCGTATCCATGTGAGTGCCCTGCTTCATTCTCAAATCAGAATATTAGGGCTTTTTATGCTGACATGTTTACTGAGAGATGTGTCACAGGGCTGTGTCGCTGCAGGAACTTCAGCAGCCAATCTAAGCTGTCCTATGGAACAGTAGTGTGGAAAATACAACACAGCTAAAGTTGGCCTCTTTGCCCCCACACCCTATCGTCTTCCTTGATAGCAATATTTAGCATTTATATAACACGTCTCAGCTTCAACGTGCTGTGCAAACATTAACTGATTAACGCCTTGGGCTATATTCTGAAAACACACCAGACGCCAGTAAAATAGGTAATATCTCAATTGCAGGAGCCCCCTAATAGCGATGACTATATATTCAAGCAGCAACAGTAAACACAGCTAGCCTACCTGGTCATATTAGGTATGCTACATAAATTACATAAATGCCCTCTCATTCATACTAGCAGAACTCCTCTCAATGCCAACTGGGTTGCATGTCAAGACTGTGAGGTTGCACCAATGTAACTGAGAAAACTGTAAGTAGTCAGCATAAGCATAAGAACATAAGAATGGCCATACTGGGTCAGACCAAAGGTCCATCCAGCCCAGTATCCTGTCTACCGACAGTGGCCAATGCCAGGTGCCCCAGAGGGAGTGAACCTAACAGGTAATGATCAAGTGATCTCTCTCCTGCCATCCATCTCCACCCTCTGACAAACAGAGGCTAGGGACACCATTCCTTACCCATCCTGGCTAATAGCCATTAATGGACTTAACCTCCATGAATTTATCTGGTTCTCTTTTAAACCCTATTATAGTCCTAGTCTTCACAACCTCCTCAGGCAAGGAGTTCCACAGGTTGACTGTGCGCTGCGTGAAGAAGAACTTCCTTTTATTTGTTTAAAACCCGCTGCCCATTAATTTCATTTGGTGGCCCCTAGTTCTTATATTATGGGAACAAGAAAATAACTTTTCCTTATTCACTTTCTCCACACCACTCATGATTTTATATACCTCTATCATATCCCCCCTTAGTCTCCTCTTTTCCAAGCTGAAAAGTCCTAGCCTCTTTCATCTCTCTTCTTATGGGACCCGTTCCAAACCCCTAATCATTTTAGTAGCCCTTTTCTGAACCTTTTCTAATGCCAGTATATCTTTTTTGAGCTGAGGAGACCACATCTGTACGCAGTATTCAAGATGTGGGCGTACCATGGATTTAGATAAGGGAAATAAGATATTCTCCATCTTATTCTCTATCCCTTTTTTAATGATTCCTAACATCCTGTTTGCTTTTTTGACTGCCGCTGTACACTGCGTGGACATCTTCAGAGAACTATACACAATGCATCGGAGATGTGATTGCAGCATGTGTAGACTTACCTGCGCTAGCTTTAATCTAGTTAGGTTAGATACCAATAGCTGCAACAGCATGGGCTCCTAAACCACTTAGGATCTCTTCAAAATTTCCCTGCTAGTCTGCATGGTATGTATCATCAAGAAATCCAAACTATGCTGGTCTAGCCTGTAATAACCATATCAAAGGCAGGCTTGGGCAGAGTCACTCTTGAAAAGTCTTTATGTGCTAAATAAGTAGCTCAGTGGTTTTGCTTTTCTTTTTTCTGTTTTGTTTTTGTCAACATGAAAATAGCTGTAGCTAAGCCTAGTCCTCAGGTGCAGGTAGGATGGCCTTGTGCCAGAACACTGCCCCCAGGGAGTCTGTGTCAGGTAATACTCCTACTTCTTCACCTACCTCTGGAGAAGCTGCTTCCTTGTCAAGGGCTGCCACTATGCTGCAGAATATAGCAAAGGGGTAAGTTACAGCGCCAAGGAGAGGAATTCTAATTGTAGCCCTCAAGATGCTGAATTAGTCGTGCAATGTATCATTAAGCACTCTCAGCTAATCTTTAGTGCTGAAACTTAGGGTAGGTCTACACTTACTTCCTGGTTCGGCGGCAGGCAATCGATCTTCTGGGATCGATTTATCGCATCTTGTTTAGACGCGATAAATCGATCCCGGATCGATCCCGGAAGTGCTCGCCGTCGACGCCGGTACTCCAGCTCGGCGAGAGGAGTACGCGGCATCGACGGGGGAGCCTGCCTGCCGCGTCCGGACCCGCGGTAAGTTCGGACTAAGGTACTTCGAATTCAGCTACGTTATTAACGTAGCTGAATTTGCGTACCTTAGTTCGAAGTGGGGGGTTAGTGTGGACCAGGCCTTAGAGCTGGTCTCCACTGAAAGGTTCGGTCGCCCCAGCTACATTGCTCAGAGGTGGGTGAAAAATCCACACGCCTGAGCGCCCATAGCTAAGCCGACCTAAATGCTGGTGTTTAAGTACTAGCTTGAAGGAAGACTTCGTCGGTTGACCTTGCTCCCGCCTCTCGAGGCGGTAGCTTAACTACAGCACTAGGAGAACCCCCATCTGGCTGTAACAAGTATCTATACGCAGCGCTTCAGCTGCGGCTGTGCCGCTGCAGCATTTTAAATATAGCCCTAGCCTTCGACGTAGCACATGGTGAGAAAGACGTAAGACTATTGGACCACTTGAGTCGGTGGAGTTATGCTGTTGTAAAGCGAGCGTAGGTGTGATCAGAATCACGCCCATGTGATACACCGGTTGCCTGAATGAAATCCCAAGATAAAAGCATGAGGTTTTTTTCCCCCAGTAAGTACGGAACATAAGTGACTACTGAGTGGATTAAGGATAAGTGTGTTTGAATGCCCTGCTGTTGGAATACTGTGCCCATAATTCAAGAAGGATGTTGATAAATTGGAGAGGGTTCAGAGAAGAGCCACAAGAATGAATCAACAATTAGAAAACGTGCCCTATAATGATAACCTCCAGGAGCTCAATCTATTTAGCTTAACAAAGAGAAGGTTAAGGGGGTGGTTTGATTATAGTCTGTAAGTATCTACCTGGGGAACAAATATTTAATAATGACTCTTCAGTCTAGTAGAGAAGAGTGTAGCATGATCTAATGGCTGGAAATTAAAGCTAGATAAATTCAGACTGGATTTTTTGTCAGAGAGGGTAGTTAATCAATGGAACAATTTACTAAGTGTCACAGTGAATTCTTCATAAGGAGCAATTATTAATGCAAGATTGGATGTTTTTCTAAAAGTTATGCTTTAGGAATTATTTTGGGACAGTTCTATGGCCTGTGTTATACAGGAGGTCAGAGATGATCACTGGGCTTAGGAACTGATGCATCTATGAATGCAGAAGAGTCACCATTGTATGCAAAAGGACTGTTTCAGGCACAGGGTGGAACTGTGGAAGATAGTTGTTACTGCTGAAATCAGGGGTACAGGTACAGGTGAAAAGAGGCAAAAAAACAATAGGGTTAAGAAGGCAAAAAGGGGAGGGAGCAAGACATCACCATATACAATGAAGTCCGCAGTGAGGCTGAAGGCAGAGAAGGAGAGATCAAGCAGCAGACAAGGAGCAAGAGACTCGGAAGAAGACGACCAGGTTGGGATTAGGGAATGTGACAAATCTTTATACGTTTGTGAGGGGAAAGTGGAGACCCGTGGAATGCTGTCA